AGAATATCTCTTTGGATTTGAGACTTTAGTCTTTGCAGCTTTACAGATCTTCTTTATGCACCAAGAGCTTGTAACACTCCAAAGAGAAAGGAGAAATTGAAATCGCATCATATGACCCCTTTAACATTTAAATGAAAAACAAAAAAATAAAGCTAAAAACAATTCAAAATATTAAAGAACAAACGGTATAAGAGTATAATAATGACCCCAAACCCCCCCCCACCCAAACACCAAAAAAAAAAAAAAAACTGTATATTTCAGCTTGGCCCAATCAAAGCACATGTGCACAGCAAACGCCGACCACAAGTTTCACTGAAAAACCAGGTGGAGACTTTGCAGATTGCCAGTAGCTTTTATTATCATAGTTATATTGTGTCCCAATTTCTCCCATTGTGATACCAGTGACCCATCTGAACACTGATAATAATCAGAAATGTTTCTTGAACAGCAAATCAGTATATTATAATTGTATAAACTAAGTATGAAGTATTTATGTGGCACTGAAGACTGGACTTATTACACTCTTTGATGACAGGAATAAATTACATTTCAAAATATTACAATAGAAACAATATGGTTGCAGATCCAAACACTGAAGGCAAGCACAACCATTACATAAACAACACCAGACAAAAACCAAAGAGTGCTGAAGGCTATTATAGGCCTATATATACTTAGGAACTAATAAGATAATTAACGAGACAACAGGTGAACAAAATGATTAATCAGACTGGGAAACTAGGGCCACATCCACACGAAGCCAGAGCTTCCCTTTCATGGGAACTTCGAACTGCATCCTCTAGGTTGTCGCTATGGGGAATGCCTCGTCGTGACCCGTGTCTGAAGCATACATTGAAAAAACACCAACAACACGTTGGCCGGCGACAGCCAGGATTGTCACTAACGGTGCGACTATAGGCCCTTTCGCACCGCATTAGTTCCAGAACTAAACGTACGGTATTAAAGTACTGGGACGATTTTGCGCGAACTATTTCCCAGTACCATTTAAAGGGCTGCATTCGCACCAACAGTGTGTACTAAGAAGTGACTTAAGCCGGTCAACAGCGACGTCATTTGTGCGCGGCGTTCAACAACAGAAACAAAGAACAACAACATTAACAACAGGAGGATGGAGGACGCTGAGATTGAAGCTGTGTTTTTGTTGTGTCTCGCGGATTTCACAATAATGGACATGGAATGTCGACGTATACGTAAAGCGATTGAAAGAACGGAAAGGAGGACTAAGAATCTCCAACGACAACTGGCAGTGCTACATTTGCTATTCCGGCGGTGCGAACACGCCGAAAAGTGGGTAGTTCCACAATTAGTTCTGGTACTATGAAAAGGTTCCTGCGGTGCGAAAGGCCCTATTAGTATAAATAGGCGCCGGGAGAACACATCATCCTCTTCTTCGTCTTCATTGACTGTTTTGTTTGAAGCATGCATTTCTGTGATAAGAGCAATCTCTATTCATATCATTATGGTGAGCACTAGCAAAGCGTTTAAGAGGATGTGTGCATCCGTGTTGTCGTTGTTTAACATCCGATGACACACACGATCTATGCATTATTTGTTTGGGCGAAGAGCACGCACGCGATGTCTCCGCGGGGGCAATGGGCGTGCACTGCGAGCGTTTTTCCAATGAAAAAGCTCCTCTCTCCAATGAAAAAGCTCTGCTCTCGTTTGTCTCTCTTTTCGAGGAAAGAGGGGCAGCCATCTGCTTCCTGTGATTCAGGACCCGCCGCCACTGAAAAGGCACGGAGGAGAATGAGCTTGTGGGGATCGCAGGTGGATCTGGCCGATAAGTTTGAAGAGGGGTTTTCCCTCTCACGATCGTCGGCTGTGGACGAGAGTGAGCCGCTAGAGGATGATGTTATTTCATGATCCAGGGGCCAGTGCTCTGCTGGGTTCGACCAAGCAAAAGCAGGAAATGTCTGAGGAGGGGCAAAGAAGCTGAGGCTGAGGCTGAGCCTTCCCAATCCTCCTGCCCTGCGTATGATGAGCTTTTGAAAGTTATGGATCCCCCCACCGCACAACAACTCTGTGACTGTTCTTGAATGGCCCAGCCGGAGCCCTGACTTAAACCCAATTGAGCATCTCTGGAGAGACCTAAAAATGGCTGTCCACCAACGTTTACCATCCAACCTGACAGAACTGGAGAGGATCTGCAAGGAGGAATGGCAGAGGATCCCCAAATCCAGGTGTGAAAAACTTGTTGCATCTTTCCCAAAAAGACTCATGGCTGTATTAGATCAAAAGGGTGCTTCTACTAAATACTGAGCAAAGGGTCTGAATACTTAGATATTTCAGTTTTTCTTTTTTAATAAATCTGCAAAAATGTCAACAATTCTGTGCTTTTCTGTCAATATGGGGTGCTGTGTGTACATTAATGAGGGAAAAAATTAACTTAAATTATTTTAGCAAATGGCTGCAATATAACAAAGAGTGAAAAATTTAAGGGGGTCTGAATACTTTCCGTACCCACTGTATATATATGTATATATAAGTGTGTATTTAATTTGCTGGTGGTTGTGTGTATTATAACCCTTCTGCTAGCTTTCTTTGCGGTGTTTCCCGGGACCTGTGTGTTTCTGTCCCTTTCTAGGATAGGTCCTCGGTGAGCACCCCCTCTGCTGGATTCAGAAACCGAGTGCTCGACTTGCAGTGTTTATCTCACTCGTCGATATATGTCCAGACGGTACGATAAGCCGGGTTTCGGCTTCATACTTCCTGGGTCATGCGGCCAGATCACAGGCTTCTGCAGGAGCCTTCTTGGTCATCAGGCCCCCGGCACAGCACTGCAAAAAGTTCCTGGACATCCGGGCTGGGCTTATGCTTTCAGGCTGCCCTGTCTGGTCTACCGTGTCTAGGTCGCCCTGAGGGGCCTCCCGATCACCAGGATATCCCCTCTTGCTGAGGCATCGAGCAGGAAGTATAGGTGGCATTTGCGAGAACCTTCTTGTGTAATGCTGTCTCAGGCAATGCTCCCCTCATCTTAGAGGGTTGTATTTGAGCTTGCCTCTCCCGTTTGGCCCAGTACTTCCAGGTATCTGTGGACAGATGCTTTGAAAACTCTAAATCCATACTATGGTAAGTGCACACGTTAAGCTTTGCACACTTTCTAAAAATCCACATAAGTGGTAAGTCTGCACGTTATGCTTTGTGGACTTTCTAAAATCCACATAGCTGGTAAGTGTGCACGTTATGCTTTGCCCACTTT